CTTGGGGGGGCAAGCGATATGCCTCGTCCTCCACGTTCCCTCTCCTTTCCCCCCCCTCGTCTAGATTCTAGATCCGTCGCCTCCTCTTCTTCCTCCTGCCCCTGCTGCTCCTCCTCCTCCTCCTCTTCCTCCTCCTCTTCCTCCTCCTCCTCTTCCTCCTCCTCCTCCTCCTCCTCTTTGCCCCAGCTGTTCTGGCTCAACTGTTGAGGCTGAGCTTGCAAACGCGTGCTTCAGAGCGGCTCGCGCTTGCAGGCCAATCGTTCGATTGCTTTCACGAGGCCTGTGAGGCCACCAACCAGTCACCGCGGATCTGTCTGCAGTGGATGGCACCGCCAGATGGCCAGGTGCTGCCTGGGCCGCGCACGCCCCTCTGGGGCTGCTTGTGCGGCTGCGCAGACAACTGGGCGTCGAGGATCTCATGTCGCCAGTGTGGTCGAGCCGCGGCGCAGAAGACCATCCAGGCCGCGCGCAAGGCTGCGGGTGCCGTGCCGTCAAGTCTGGCCAACTGTCGTCTGGGCCCAAGCCGCCTCTCGGGCGGCGGCTAGGCTGGGGGTGGCGGCGCGCCGCCGTGGGCCAAGGGCGCAGGCGGCGGCAGCAGCACCGCGACCACGTCTGGCCAAGATGTGCTCGCCAACCTAAAGAAGCTCGGAGACGACAGTTCGGCCATCGCACTAATCCCACCAGCCCTTTAGGGCGTGAGTGGTTTAGCGAGCCCCCTCTGTCCTCAACCCCCCTTCTTCCCCTTCGGGGAGGGGTTTACCCCTCCCCCTACCCCCTCCCCCTGGGTCTGGAGAGGGCGGGCCGCGGGTCGTCAGGGGGGTCTTTTTCGACTCCTGGGAGGGCCAAAAAAACGACGACCCTCACGAGGATTCTGGCCCCGTCGGGGGGATACAGAAAAACCCTCTCCTCTTCTGTGAAGCCAGAATCCTTGCTTTTACTAGGGTTTTGGCCCTATTTTGGCCTCCCGAGGGGGCCGCGCTCATCTTCCTTCATAGCAAAATCATTGATTTTACGAAGGTTTTGGGCTCATTTTGTCCTTCTCAGGGGGCAGCGCTTCTTTGCGCTTCTGAGGAGGTCGCAAGAGGCCCCAAGATGGCCCCAAGAGGCCCCCAGGAGCCTCCCAAGAGGCCTCCAAGAGGCCCCCAAGAGGCCCCCAAGAGGCCCCAAGAGGCCCCCAAGAGGCCCCCAAGAGGCCCCCAAGAGGCCCCCAGAGGCCCCAGGAGGCCCCCAAGAGGCCCCCAAGAGGCCCCCAAGAGGCCCCCAAGAGGCCCCAAGAGGCTCCAAGAGGCCCCCAAGAGGCCCCACGAGGAGCCCGAACGACTCACACCAGGACGAGGGGCCCGAACGACTCACACCACGAAGAGCCCGAACGACTCACACCACAAGGAGGGGCCCGAACGACTCACACCAGGACGAGGCGCCCGAACGACTCACACCACGAGGAGCCCGAACGACTCACACCACGACGCGGGCCCCGAACGACTCACACCACGAGGAGCCCGAACGAGTCACACCAGGAGGAGGGGCCCGAACGACTCACACCAGGATGAGGGGCCCGAACAACTCACACCACGAGAAGCCCGAACGACTCACACCAGGACGAAGAGCCCGAACGACTCACACCACGAAGAGCCCGAACGACTCACACCAGGAAGAAGGGCCCGAACGACTCACACCAGGACGAGAAACCCCAAACGACTCAAATCACGAGGAGCGCTTTCTCTCCCTCCTCCTCCGCCTCGTCCTTCTCCCGCTCCCCCCACAAGGAGGATGTACAAGGAGGCGGGAGGAAGGAGGAACAGGGGAGATATGCGGGGCCAAACGGACACACGCCTGAAAAACACGACTGTCGGCATGCTTCGCATGAGTTGCTGTTGTGAGATGGGCTGGTGGGGATACGCGAAGCGTGAAGAATTGAGGAGGCAGAGAAGAAGGCTACGGAAGCAAGTCAGAAGAAGGCTCCATCGGCGCAGACTGCGCGCTGGAAAGTGGAGGACCTCATGACCAAGATCGGCAACATGGAGGCGAAGTCCGTCGAGACCGAGCGCGAAAAGGAGGCCTTAGACGCGGAGCCCACCACGGTCAAGGAGCCCTTGGACAAGGCTCGCGAGGACCTCGAGCAGGCCCAGGCTATGCTGTGCAAGGCCCACGCCAGCGAGTTCGAGGACCCGCTCAGGGCCATGTCCGCGGGACTCGCCTCGTCGGTCGTCGAGTCGGCCGAAGGGAAGGCAGCGCTAGAGTCGCTGCAGCGCCTGCAGCGCTCGGCCGAGGCCAGGCGTGCTGCTGAAGCTGCTGAGGCTACTGCTGACGCTGCTGCTCCTCCCCCAAGCCAACAGCCAGGAGGCGGGCGCGTCGCGGCTGCTGCCCTCGGCTTGGCGGTCAAGCGGGCGCGGCAGGTTTGACCCGTCAGGCCTGGATGCGATCTGGGATTACAACGTCGGGGGCGTGGAGTGGGGCGGGCCGGGCTTTTCCGTGCCCGCGATGCTCCCGAGGCCTGCCCGGGCCTTGTCGGGAGCCCTGGAGCCTGCTGCGCGTCGTCGGGGCGGAGGAGCTGGTCTGCTGGACCCGTCGGAGTGGCCTGGGCTTGGCCCTGCAGACGCTGCGGGCGTTTGCCCGAAGGGCAGGGGGGGGAGGCAAGGATTCAGCCCCTGGTCGTCGCACCCCCTCTGCCCGCGTGCTCGGGGGCTACAGGTTCGTCCTCTCCGACGGCCGCGGCTGCCAGTGCTGGGTCATCGCGCAGGGCGGCCAGGCCAGTACCCGGCCCCCCTGAAAAAGTGGAAGACCACCCATCTGCGTGAACCTTCCGGGGCCCCTCGGGTTGGCAGGCAGCCAGACCGAGAGGGAGATCTGAGTTCTCGGCGGGTGGAATCGCTGGAGGGGGCCGGGCCGCTGCTCCCGCCTGAGTCGACGTCGCCGAATGGATCGTCGGCGCCGCGTGGGACGATGACACCGAGTGGGTTGGCGGAGCCACGTACTTCGATTGCGCCGAGCGGACCGTCGGAACCTTCTTTTCGATACGTCGTTGACCTCGATTGCGAAGGACTGTCCGCGCAGCCTCGAGGACGCGGCAGTAGAAGGTGACTGCTTACATCAATCTTGCTTCGAGAGCGAGGGCTGCTCGGCCATTGTCAACGTGGGGTGCCCTCCTGTGCGCGTGGAGCCCAGGAACGAGAGTAAGCCCGCGGCCCTTCCGGCTCTCGGCATGAATTCCAACGCGCGGAGTTCGACGGAGACAGTCGTGGAGTGGCTCGTGGATCATGAGTCAGCGCATGGTGGCCTGGATACAGTCCCGGAGTGCCTGTGCGTGCACGAGACTCGGCTGCTATCCGTTGATACCGTGAGGTGCGCTTGGCGGGGCTGGTAGGTGGCGCATGGCATGGCGCGCAGCACTGGGTCTGGAGCTACACAATTCTCTTCGGGCGGTGCAGTTGTAATCCAGCATGCGATAGCCTCGACGCAACTTGTACCAGACTTGCTGAGTGGCTGCAAGAGTCGTGCTGTGATGAGAAAGGCGAACGTCGGTTTTCCACAGGGGCTGCTAGTTGTCTCGGCCTATCTCATCAAGGGGTTCGTCGGGCTGGCGGGCCCCAACGCGACCCTGCTGGAGATGCTCGGCGGGTATCTCCTGAGCCAGCCGCTTCCATGGATGGATCATCCAGTGTGAATTCAATTTTTTGCCGTCCGACTTGGCAGCCTCAGGCTGGCTCCAAACGGTCAGGGATGAGGTGGTCACTCCTCCGGAACCTACTTGCGCTAGGGCTGTTGTGGGCAAGCGTCATGAAGCCAATGCTGATGCCCAGGAAGTTTTAGAGGGTTCTCCTGAAGTCTGGGTTCGTGGGGATCAGGAGGTGTCTGGATGGAGGGCTCCTAGATGGGGTCCGAGTAGATGGGGTCGGAAGACCTCGCCGCATCGCCAATACATCGGCGATCCATCGGCGATGCATCGGCGATGCATCGGCGATGCATCGCCGACGTCGGCGACTCATCGGCGACGTCGGCGTGGAGAAAATCGGGCTCCGCATCGAGCCGCGTCGCCGATGCATCGACGATACAGCGCGATCCTCCGACCCCGTCCACTCGGACCCCATCTGGGAGGCCCAGACTGGAGGAGGAGGACGCACGCTTGACTTTTCCTCGCGGCGGAATGCTTGGCTCGCGGCGGAATGCTTGGCGTCCAGGGTTATGTCGGGCGTGTCCCCCTACAGGGAGATTGTCTACGAAAAATGAAAAATACCCCCCAAATGCCGCCAAAAATAAAAAATACCCCAAAAATAGTCTCCAGACTATTTTTTGACAATTTTTTTTGATATTATTTTTGGGGGACTTTTTGTTTTTCGTCGAAAATCCCCCTGTAGGGGGACAGGCCCGACTTCAGTCCAGGGTCCAGAACCCGAGGGTCTCCGTGGGCGCCCCGCGGCCTCCCCGCAGCCCTGGGCCCCTGGAGCCAGAGGGCGCGCCCCCTCCCGGCGGTCAGCACCCGGCAGGCCGGGCCGAAACCGCTCGCGCACGATGCGGTCGGGCCTCTCATCTCGGGTCGGGCGAAAGGGGGGGATCATAGCAAAGGGGGGGGGGGTGAGAATCAGCTCGCGCACGATGTGGTCGGGCCTCTCATCTCGGGTCGGGCGAAAGGAGGGGATAATAGCAAAGGGGGGGGGTGAGAATCAGCTCGCGTGGCTGACTTTCCCGGCGCCTCCCGGCGCCGGAGGCGGCCACGTAATCGAGGAATGGGCCCCTCGGTGAGGCCGAAACCAGCTGCATGCAGCAGATTTCGTGACGCCCCCTTTCCCTATCCCCCCCTTTCGCCCGGCCCGAGATGTGGTTGGGCCTCATCTCGAGCCTCCGCGGGGCCTGGGCGTTGCCTCCCGTCGAGGCGGACTTGCTACCCATCTCGGTCGAACACTTGTGGAGGGCACGCAACTCGCCATCGCTCAGACGTCCATTCCCTGTGCTTTTTTCGGTTTCGTGCGTGGTTTTTTCGCCAAATGATCAAGGATGCTCCT